TGTTTTCTGATTTGTTGTCCACTGGCGCCCCCTGTAGTCTAAACGTTACACGAACACCCTCTTCCATTTCCAGTCTTGCCTTGTCCTTTAGTAATAGCAAAATAGATTTGACATTTGCTAATGATGAATGTCCGTTGAGGGGCTGTTAACCTTTTCTGGAGCGGTGTAATTTCCACCACATATTGTCCACTGAAACGCAAAGGTGGTGTGTAATCTATAATGACATTGCAGCGCTAGAGGGCGCCATTTCTTCAGTGATATCAAAACGTCTTTGATGCGCAAAATATGCTTACAATTTTATAAAGATGAATTTAACAAAAACATTTAACACACAAGGTGTAACACATGACTGACCTTTTACAAGGACTTTACAAAATAATAATAAAACGGATCATAACACCTTTTAGCTGTGAACATGTTTACAGTAGGCTAGTTTGTACTTTATGGCTTAAAAATATCACAAACACACTAAATGTAGTGTAATTTTTACATGTGGATTTTTCTAAGCCATCCCAGTAAGAAAACAAATTATGTACTGTTGTCTACAAATGAAAGCAGGCCACAAAAATAGACTATATATAGACAGACAAGTCAATGAAGACAAAAATAGACATTAATTTCCTTCCACCATTTTTTCCTTGTCTCTTTCTTTGATGAATGATCCAAATTTGATCAAAATTATCCACAACTGTGATGAAACAGGAAGCTGAAAACATCCAAAGCCTGATGAAGAGTGTTTCCCTCGTGTTTTACTGCTGTCCTCCCAAGGCTTATGAAAGATGGTAAAGATAGGAGTGACGCAAGAGAAAAACATGAGGCCAGCTCTGGGTTTCTGTTAGTGCCTGTTGAGATGCTATCAGAACGTCAGAACAGTGGCAAGTGTTTGCTGTTGACTTTGGTCTCATTTAAAGATGGGCTTCTCACTTTCCTGGCTTTGTGAATTTTTTTTTTTTTTTTTTTTTGAAAGAGTCCCAGCCTTTTCCTCAGAGATCCTCAGAGACTAATTTTCTCAGTGATGGCCATCCTTTTTGTTGTTGTTTGTTTTTCACGTATCTTCTTGTGGTTGTTTTCTCCAGCCACTGAAAACATGCTCTATTCACTGTCAACCATTATTAATTCTGTGAGCAACAGTGTCCATTAACATCAGGATACCAAGATAAAGCTAGTAGTATTCAGCTGGTCATGTGACTTCAACATGGCAGCCCCCATAAGGGGACCCTGCTCCATGTATTTTATTTTTGTTGCTAGCCTACTGAAATAGGTGTGGTATTTAAAAATACAACTAATTTCTAAATGTGTATAAACGTTGTAACAAGGAACAACCTTTGAGAAAACTAAAAGAATTATTGTCACCTTAAACCTCAAACACATGAGAGTTTATGCTATTTGCAGCTTAAACAAGGCACGTCTTTGAAACACACCATGTAATTAAAGAAAAACTGAGATTTGAACAGAGAAAATGCTTAATATTTATTAAAAGATTGCATTTATTACAGTTTTTAATTGTTTCCTGGCAAAATATTTATTTCGCCACTGAAAGTAATTAAATGATAAAGGATTAAAACATTTCCTGTCTTATCACCGGGGTAACCGCCATATAATAGCGTAATATACTGATCTGAAAGCAAGGACGCTTTCAAACAATAAAAACCCCACATTGAATCAATCCCCCTCCTTCTTGAATACACCAGGCAACTCTCTATTTCATTTCTTTATTTCCCCTTCATATTTAAAAGGCTAGATATGATCTCTCCGCTGCCTTTCATGGACGAATAAACGCTGCTTGTTATTCAACGCTCGACGAGGAAGAGAAACCTTAACGCCAAGGGTTTTCACTCTGCTGCGAGCTAGTGAACGGGACACTTATTTTCCACGTATAGTCCCTGACTGGGATTTAGACACCGCGCCATGATTTGCTCGGATGCATTTCAGAAAAGCATCTGAATGCGTGCGTTTGTATGGAAGTGCGCCTTCGGTAATAGACTGCGAGTTTACGGGGTCACCGCGGCGACCTCGCGGTAATAACACGTCCAATCATACGCGCGGAAATGGAGACTTGCGCGGGCTGCTTTTGTCTCTGTTTGACCATGGCTCGTTACGCTTTGTGCCGACGATTGGGACTCTTCTGTGTCACGTTCTCTCATCTATATCTC